TGTTGCCCCTTCACATTTTCTCCAGGTGCTCGGGTGTACTCCTGCAGTGCACACTCAATAATGGGCCGAAAACATCTTAAAATGTAGAGAACTGCAGATACTTTGTGCTTTATTGTTTTCGGTTGTAAATTACTGACTCCGCCCACACTGGACATCTGTGAAAAGGAGCTTCATAGATCATCGGACTTCTCCTGCAGTCGAAATGAAGATTCCGATTCCGAATTGTTGGTGCCGGCTCACCGCCTGGCAGCCTTCCAGCTTGGTCTGTGGTTCCCATTCAGCGGTTGTGAGATGTAATTTGCATGAACGACGCTATCGAAAACTAATCATGAGATTATTATTTATTAGATTACTTGTACTCGTTGGGCGCAGATTAAATAAGCAGACAATACACGTGTCTTTTCATATGGCATAAGAATTTTAGTAGGAAGAAAAACAACCTGTATTTCATAGTTTATTTACAAATAGCTTCAGGCTTTTTTAGCAATTTGGTCCTGTACTATTTATATATACTATATATAAACCATTACAAAACGTAAACTTTTAAATGTGATTACGTATATATAGGAGGTACAGCCCTGCAATCTATCACAACACCGTTGCCGGAAGGGTCTCCACTATAGACGGCACTCTATAGAGCCCCTCTGGAGGGTATTTGGCCTACTCTTCCACACTGGTCAGACGTACATCTTTGCAGAGGTGGGGACATCCACACTTTTCCTCGTCACACACGACCCGCCTATCAAACAGCGGAGTACCTACTGGACATCTGTGAAACATTTTTACTTTTTAGCTAATCGGATTTCTCCCGTACAATTAAATATTATGAGACTGCTGGGTGGATCGAGGCAGGGGGGGTATTAATAAACGTGTTCATTGTTTCGGCTGCCACGCCGGGAGATCGAACCGGTGACCCCTGGATTACAAGCCCAGCGGTGTGCGAACCATCACACCCACGGCAGCACCCTTACGGCGTACACACACAGTCCACGCGAATATCTACTTGGGCACGGCGTGTTTAGCAATTCGTGAACGGCTCGAGTCGGGTGTGCGGCCCTCATTGTCTCGACGCCAGCAGGGGAAGACGCGAACTGTGGGAGGCGGTGGGTTTTGTGTGAGGTTCTCCTAACAAAAGAAAGGGGGTGGAGGCATACCAAGCAGATGGCTGAGGACAAAACAACATCACTCGTGCACGTTCGCACGCACGCACGTGTCTGTGTGTGTGTGTGTGTGGGTAGCGGTAGTGTAGCGGTTAGCGCGCTGCGCTATGAACCTGGCGACCCGGGTTCGATTCCCGCTCACGGCCAACACCAGTGACGGTTATCTGAACCGGTCCCTGGGCCACCCCTAGGTCGACTCAGCCTCAAATTAGTACCTGGTGCGGTGTGTAAACATTACCACTAGGGAGTGGCGCTGGCCCACCCACCCCCTCGTGTACCGTTCCGCCCTTCATAGGTGCTCGCTAACAGCACTTGCCCCTACAGTCTGTTAAGGCTATATGGGGGATCTTATTCTTTGTCCATGTCCCGTCCTTGGCCGGTGCGAGCGAATAGCGTTCGCTCCTCCAGTCTAATCGGCTGAGAGGGGTGAGTGCCTTCCTCTTTCGGTGTGCGCATGTGATCTTACAGATTGTAGGCAGACAGATCTCTTGTGGGTGCGTGTTGTTTTGGTGGTTGTACCGGGCGCGTCGTTCGGCATGATGTCTGACGTTTCTTCGCTTTCACGTGCTCGGGGACTTTGTGCTCAGTTGCTAAACACTCTTCATTTCCCGAAGAAGATCCCAAGCAAGTGGAGCGAAGCTACATACATCATGCCGAACGACAGCCCGATAACACATTGGGGCGCTGTAGAGCACAACTGTGAAAACTTAGACTGAAATGTTGCAGAAAAATGTGAAAATCACAGTGCCACATCCAACCTGCCATTGTTTATTGAGCTGTGGGTGTTCGTGCGTGCGTGGATTCAATTGAATTTATAATCTTTACCAAGGAAATCTAATTGAAATGTTCGGACGTGTATCAGGAAGACTGCTCGGGATGTGAAACCGATGTTTCAATATTCCCTATGTAAATACGCGCTTGAGTCTTGAGTATGTACATGTATGTATTGATATTTGAGAAGGGAATTATGGCACTCTGCTAAGAGGCTGGTGACCTGCCCTTAATGCCCAGCCATAGCTATCGTTAGCAAGGTGCTTATTTGTACGTAAGTATGTATATATGTTGAACTTATTTCATGAATCGTCAATCATCGTGACGTTCATGATTCCTTTATTATCTCAAACACATTCATAATTTTATGAAAGTCTGGTAAGAGCCGTCGAGACAATGTGTTTTACATCACCTGTAGAATACACAATTGGCAATAGGCAAACGCAGAAGCGGTGAAGACACGTGTGTTTATTGTGTAAGTCTCCGTGTCTATGTGCGAGAGTCTATATTTTGTGCGCGCGTGTCCGTGCAATATACGTAGGCGCATTCGTCGCGATAAAGCACAATACAAACGAAGGCCACCCCATGACATGACATGTCAGTATGTCAGTTGTGGAGGCGGGTGTTGGACCATAACTCATCACGCCGTTCGGGGTGAGCTGGTGAAGGCGACTTCGTTGCGGTAGAGGAGGCCAGCTCCAGTTCGGAAACATCCCTCGCCACTGATATTATCCGTGACCGAGAATCAGACTCGGGTTGCCGGGTTCATTGTGCAGTGCGCTAACCATTTTATTCGGTATGCATCCATGTTGCTGTCTCTGTCTGACGGTTTCATATTCCGTGTGGATGGAAATCAAAGTTTTAAAATAACGACAGGAGGACCTAGACTCTCTTAATTTTGGAGCTTTCGTGACTGCAGGAATTATTCTTTGGTTTTTTCGGTAAAGTCACGTATAAAAATAAAATAATAAATTAAATAATAGCATACGACGTTTCGATTGCAACACAAGCAATCATCATCAGGTATAATGAAATAGCGACATAGAATATAACCAGAAAACTATAGACAGACATATAAGCAGACAGATATCACCAAGATACATAGAGAGAGCAACCCAGGTACAGAGAGAGGTGATCGTCTCTGTGGGGTGGCCTTAAATAGACAGAGGGGGGCGGAGGCAGAGAGAGGGAGGGGGTAGGGAAAACATTTACATGTCAATGAGTACGAAGGGAGGGGAGTAAGGTAAGCAGGCTTAGAGGGAGACAGAACACACTAAATTAAATAACCTAGCAAAGTATCGAAATGTTCAGTAAAACGACACAGAGAGTCGGTCAACACACAATTAACGCATTGCCTGGTCGATTACGTATTTCAAAGATTGCTAAGTTAGAATTTAAGTGTGAAAATTCCAAAAAAAGACAAAACATAAAAAAAAGAGGAACGGAGACACACAGACAGAGCAGAACCTAAGAACGATACAAAACGAGTGTAGACAGAGAAAATTACACTAAATATACAGGCAGAGAGAGAGAACAAGAAACCCAGAGATAGAGAAAAAGGTAAACTTGGAACTTCCCCGTAGAAGTGGTTCAATCTTAATTTTGGAGCTTTCGTGACTGCAGGAATTATTCTTTGGACCTAGACTCTACTTTGAAGGAACACCACACTCAGTTAATTTTCCGCTGCAGCCCCGACACGCGAATTGTGATCTACAATCTTTTCGCTGCCCGTCACAGCCATTCTCATAGGCGTTTGCATCTCCTCTGAGTGGCCTGTTCACGTGAAATTGTTCTTCTGCAAGTACGTCACCATGTGAAATCTCTCCGATGCTCTCACGCACTCACCTAGCCCCCTGAATGTCCCACTCCACTGCTCTATATTTAGATGCACACGATTTTGGTGTGATATTTAGCACCCTTGACTTGCAATCCAGAGGTCACCGGTTCGATTAAACTTTCTGTCAATTTTTTTGACGGAATAAAAAAAATGTCTCTTGTTATTTTGGTTGCCAACCCCTGGCCTAGGTTACAAAAAAACAACAATGTTCCCTGGCTCTCTAACGATGGACTTTTAAGTTGCAATGCGAGGCTGGATGATGGCTGTTTGCTGCGAGGGCATATTTACTGTTGCACAGAAACATGGAGAAATGCATTCTTGAAATGAAAGAGGAAACACGTGGGTAACGAACATGCATATTGACCACGGCCAAAAGCACGTGGGCTCGAGACATGACACATTGCTAGAATAATGATGACTTAGAATGGAAATAGAATGGCAGCCGAAGGAGGTCACATAGCCTATAAGATGAATACCGCAGCTCGTTCAGTGTGCGGGGGTGGGAAAGTGGGATGAATAAGCGTGTTTTTAAATGTTATTCTTTCGTGTGATGTGATGCACGTTCCACTGCTTTGTACATCATCTCGAGACACAGTTGCATAGTATAAGCTATTGACAGCTAATCCAAACAATTTTGCAAGCCTTCATTTATCACGCAATATTTAAACTAACCTATTAAATTTCATATTTTTATTTTACCAGGTAAGGTCCACTGAGCTGTATAGCTCTTCTTAGAAACGACCTGGCCACAAATGATAGCTCAACGAAGTGGCTTATCACGTGGAAACGTATAGCAGCCGAATACTCTAAACGCATGCTGATTGCCAATGTGGAGGGAGAAAACAACGGGAGGAGCTGGAGACAAATCCACGTGATCACGAGGAGTGGGTAAACGAAGGAGGATGGGGTGTGTTGTATTTTTCGGAGCTCAGCCCCGGACAGCTCTGGCTGAAATGAATCAATCTCGGTTCATGTAATCGATGATGACCACGATAATCCAAGATGAAGATCCACCCACTGCACCGCATCGCAGGAGCCCGCCACCACCACCACCACCAGCCGCTCCATCGACCCCACACACACAAAGCCGCTCCTCTCCCGGCTGGCTCCGGCCAAATCCCCATCCCCCCCGCCAGGCAGCCTCCCAAGCACAGAGAGCCCAAAGCCACGCCTCCCCAAGCCGCATGCGTCCCCTCTTGTCTCTCCGTTAATAATAACCCGGGCAGCCAGCCGTGAGTACAGCACTCCCTCTCTCCCCCCTTCCTCCACCCACCCACCGGCCGGTCTACCCGCCCGACCGCCCGCACTCTCTCCCTGCCAGCAACAGCGAGAGGCACCGGGCAAGGCACCTCCATATACAGTCGGCGGCTCACCATCATCACCACCACCATCATCATCATCCCGCACTGCTTCGCCGCCTCCGCTTTCTCGTCGTCTTCCCGAAGCCGCGCGTCTCGGCTCGCCTGACAGAGACGTCCGCCTTTGTTAGGAGGAAGGGGAGAAGCAAGGCAGCAGCCCAAGGGAGGCGCTCGTGGCGGTGTAAGTTTGCACAGCACAAGGAGAAGAGGCTGTGGCGTGATGCTGCGAGGGGCTTGCCTTTGATTGAATAACCAAAGAGGGGTGCGTGGGGTGTAAGGAGTTTGTTCCAGCATCGAGTTTAGAGGAACCTTCTTTTTTCGGTGTGTGTGTGTATTTGTCGGTGTGTGTGTGTGTGTATTTGTCGGTGTGTGTGTGTGTTGTGTCTCCCTGTAAGTCTGGTCGCAAATAGCCGCATTGCGATTGTAAGCGGCTCCACCACCACCACCACGATTCACGTGCAAGGCGCACATTGAGTGTGAGGAGCGAGAGACCGCGAGGGATTATTAGGCGCCTCTGCTCCTTGCCCGACGATGTGGCCATTCAGTTTCATCCAGAAGGAGAAGAACTCGAACCAGAACAATAAGTCGCTGGCGTTGCAGGAGCAGCAGCAGCAGCAGCGAAACCAGCAGCAGCAGCAGCAGTGCACGGTGAGCTACAGCAGCAAGGATGTGCCGAGGAAACACAGCAGCGACGCGTCCAAGAACAGCAACGGGAATCTGCCGCAAACCCAGGCGGTGACCACATCCCAGCCCGTCCCGCAGAAGACCGCCGCCGCAACTACCAACACCGCCCATCTTCTGGTGAACCCTCAACCCCAGGCGGGCACCACCACGCAGTCGTCCGTCCAGAACCAGCAGCAGCAGCAGCAGCCGCCGCTACTCCCGCTGGGAGCTCAGCTCCTCCTGTCCAACGCCCATCCGCTGGCCGCCGTGCCGCTGTCTCTGCCCGGGCTGCCGGCTCCTGCTTCGTGCGGGGCTGCCACCCGCGCCGTGCTGCAGCCGAGGAAGAACGCCGTGACGGACGACTTCAGGATCACGGGGCAGGTGCTCGGGCTCGGCATCAACGGCAAGGTGGTGGAGTGCTACAACAAGAAGACGGCGGAGAAGTTCGCTCTCAAGGTAAACGATGGCAACACCCCTTCCCCCGCACACCCATACACACACCAAAGGTAAAGATCCCCTCTTTCCCACCCCCCTTTCCCCGTATAGCATCGACAGACTGTTGGGGCAAGTGTTGTTAGCGAGCACTTACGCAGGCCGGAACGGTACACGAGGGGGTGGGGTGGCCTTTATCTCCCTGTTGGCGATGTTTAATTACACACCGCACCAGGTACTCTCATTTGAGGCTGTGTCGACCTAGAGGACCGGTTTAAATAATCGTCACCGGTGTTGGCCATGAACGGGAATCGAACTCGATTGAGCCGAGTTAATAGTGTCGCGTGCGCTACCCCCCCACCTTCGCTCCAGTGACAGGCATCTCACTCACCCCCAACGACCCTGTCTATGATGCAATCTGGCGAGACGTTAACTGCCTCCCTAGGTATACAGGAGGTCGTGGGTTCCATCCACACCCTGACGCCTGCTGTATATTTTGAGTTTGCGTGTCCTCTCTCCCCGTGGTCGCGTGAATTTGTTTTCCTCCGGGTCCTCCGGTGCTTCCATCCACATTTAGAAACGTGTGTTTAGAGTATTTGGCTGTTGTACATTTCCACATGGAAAGCCACTTCGTTCAGTTATCATTTGTGGCCATGTCGCTTCTGAAAAAGAGCTCTATAGATCAGTGGGGCCTTACCTGGTAAAATAAAAACCCTTCAGTTTGTTCGGTCTTGAGCTGCAGTATACATACAGTACTTCACACCCTTGCAGTTTGTATTACACGGATTACTTTTTGTGTTACACAGACGCCCCCCATAGCATCTGGATCCAGCACGATTTATTTAACATAACCGACTGACTCTGATAATTATGAGACTCCAGGAGGTGGCTTGCTTTGCTTGCTTAAACAATTGCTGCCGGATAATATGTTGGTCTGGAATTCCAGTAGGCCGATTGACTATATTTTTTCTCTTTGTGTGTGGAGACACATGTATTAGCTTTTACTCTACCAGTGGTCGGGTATTCGCTTTATGTATGAATGAACATGTGAAGTGTCTTGTATACAGTCATGCAAGAGCCTACAATGTATATGGGCGTGGAGCTGCATTCTAGGATTGCATTGCATGTGTGTCAAGGATATCTGTGATGCTGAGAAATCAGTGGCCGGGATTCAAACCGAGCTCACTGACTGCATGGAATGAAAGCCAACAGCTGTGCCCACCGCTCCCCATAATGTGCTATTGAGCGTGGGGACAGTGGTAGTCTCCGTTAACAGCCCTGAGTCAGTGGCGGCAATTTCAGGTTCATATGGAGGGGGGGTGACTATTTTCCATCAGACGTCCTCACTGTTGACTTCACACACTTTGTATTAACTTCATTGGCCCTGGAGGGATGGTGGGAGGCTGATTTGACCCCTGACCAAAATTTGTCACCGTCTAATAGTGAGATAAATTGGGTCGTTGTAATTAAAGGCATTTGTTAAAGTATTTACCATGACATTGCTCATCTTTCTTGTTGGCCCTGAGCCATTGGTGAAAATTACATATCCTACAGAAATTCTATATCCTACAGAAATACCATATCCTACAGAAATACCATATCCTACCGAAGAATATTATGATAACTCACATCAGCATTTATATTTGTTTGGTGTTAGTGAACAAAAACGATTTAGCGGTATTTTTACTGCCGACGAGTGATTGCATTAATTACTATTATTCTTGAATAAAAGTAAACAAATAATGTTTTCCAAAGAAACCTATTTGGCAGCATTGGCTAAAAAAGGAATAAATGTTGACCCCAAAGACTTAACAAGGGGCACATTTGCGTGATCGAAGTGTCAGTGCGCGCACATTAGCTCGCCTTACCCTTGTACATTTGGCTTGTTGGGTCATTAAGCTACCCCCATGATACAGAATTCTCCACGAACATTGCCAAATCGGCATAATGCCTGCTAATAGTTCATGTCGATGATAAGGATTCGATTACAATGTTAGCATGGTTAGCCAATTGCAGCACTTTTTATTTGCAGATAATTCCAACAGCCTCGTTTACTTCACAAATGAAAAGGTCGGGAGTTCAAATCCTGGTCGGGGGGGGGGGGGGACTCGGGTTCAACGTCCCTGGGATCTTTTGAGAACATGACGAGGACTCTGTGAGCCACCACCAGACTCTGTGAGCCACCCAGACTCACTCTGTGAGCCACCCAGACTCACTCTGTGAGCCACCCAGACTCACTCTGTGAGCCACCCAGACTCACTCTGTGAGCCACCCAGACTCACTCTGAGAGCCACCCAGACTCACTCTGTGAGCCACCCAGACTATGTGAGCCACCACCAGACTCACTCTGTGAGCCACCCAGACTCTGCACAAAGGGTGAATGTCATAGGCAGCTCTCGAACAACCTCTGCGCATCTCACGCACTCACCACGCCGTTATCATGACGCAATGTTGTAGTGCCACAGGGCAACGCGGTGGGCAACAACATAGCTGTTGCCCTGTACTGTACTTCTATGCTCCCTGTCTTCACCCAACACGCACTGACCAGCAGAGTGAAGTATGGTCAAATAACCCCCACGAACGAGCGTGTCATTGAGAGGTCCTCATCCAGCAGTGGGTCGACAACAGGGCTGTGTGTGTTTTGTTACATTTAATTCTGCAGTGCCCTGCGTTACACGGGAACACCTCTTTTTGTTGGGAAGGTCAAAAGTTATTGTTTTGTAGAGAGAATGATCCTCGGGGAAAGGAATGTGGAGTTTTCACTCTTGGCTCGGCACCACTATTGGAGATGAGCAGCGTCCGATGTGTGGTTGCGTAGGGAGACGGACTATTTAAAATTCACCCGTCACGTGTGTATGTTGAACTTCTTTCGCACTGTACGTAGCCAACCGTGCAAATCGGAGGTGCAGGGGGAAGGATGGCAAACTAAACACAGAAATCAGTTCTAAAGAAATTCGAATTAGATTGATAATGGTGATGATGATTGATGATCGATTATTATGAAGATGATGAAGACACTGCTGTTCGTCATCACGTTGATTTAGTGACAAGTCGCTCGTAATTTTTCTACTCGTGTTCAGACAGTTAAAGTTAGCAATTATTTAACTGTCTGTAATGGTACCGATGCTTGAAGGCATAGGAAAGAATGGTCATTGAAATGTTTTCAAGTGTCTAAAACAATTAAAATCGGTGTCGACGACTTTTGCGCATCAAATACGCTTCAGAAGCGTGGTCATTGCTATGGGGCAGAAAAAAAACCCAACAAACTGAGAAGTGTACCACAAAAGCGTGAAGAGACACAGAAGAGGCGCACACGTGGATTAGAGGGCATGTGCAGGTTACAAGGCATAATTGAAGCTGTTAAAAACGCAGTGGGGGACTTGGGCGAGAGAGATGTCACTGGAGGGGTATGATGGCGCACGGTTAAGAATAGTCACCGAGTGACACCAAGGAATGTAACGCGCCAGAGGGCACGCTTATCGTGGAGATGGAGCCGTGGAATCGGCTCGTGGCGCAGGTGCTCGGCGGATGGTCATCGTGCGGAACCGTGAGGCTCGTGGAGGTCTCTCATCCAGCGGTGGATTGCCCATCGGCTGAAGACGATGTGCGGGAAGGGGCCTTGCTGGGTGTGCGTGTCAGACTGTGCCTGCGGTGAATGTGTTTAGAGTGGCAGCATGGGAGGAGGAAATCTCCACATCTCCACACCCTCGGGCTTTAAAACCACAGGGTGTATATATTTATTTAGTTGCCGATTTTTTCTCTCTCTCTTTCCTTCCCTTTAACTTGATGGTGCCTTTTCTCCACAATTCACGAATGCAAGAATCGCATTGTGCGGGAAGCTTTGGTGGAATTCTTCACATTTTTTTGCTGCCTTTGAATGGATTAGGCGATCGCAATCGAGGGTATTGGTGTCTCGGTCAAGATCAACACCGTAAATATGGCCTCATTGGATGGTGTTAGCTATATATGGTGGTGGGGACGATGATTGCAGATGCAATTATTAAAATAGAAAAAAAATAGGTCGTAATTATCAGAAGCTGCGTATGCAGTGCGGGTTCGGCAATTGGATATTCACAATGGTGTAGTACAATGTGTTAATGTAGACAGTGTGAAGAATGAGTTGGGTAATTGTGGCTAGAAATAATTAAATAATGAAAACTGATCTTAAATATTAATGACCTCTTGCCTGGTTAATTAAAGGATATCAATAACTCATTAAATCTTGGGTAGTCTACAATTTTATTTTATTTATATATTCATTTTAAGTTACCTTCCTGGGAACATGTTGACCCAACTGGTATTGGTCGACACATTTTAACGGTTATGGATTACTGCTGTAAAATTTTTTTATGACAATTGTAGAGTTTGCATATACGATGACAGGCAAAACAATATTTAAAGGGGAAGGCAACCCCACATTTTCCATTCGTGCTCATTTCAAAATCATCTGACTGGGTGATACTATGCTTGAAGGCTAGAAGTTGGCATCTCCAATTGGGTTTTGTTTGGCCCATCATTCGCCTGGGTTAAGTAACATAAATGCCGCTTTGTGGGTAGTTGATAGCCACTGTCCAATAGAGTTATTGACACTCATCATGGGAATGTTACTCTTCCACCATTGGCTCTGGGCCACCAAATGAGGTGATCGCCTGCCTCGTTGCTTTATTGTTTGGACATGAAGTGACAGTTTCACGTTGACACACAACGTCGCGTTGATTAGCGCTGTGCGCCCTCCACTATTCGACACAGCCACACAATGATTGGAGGCATTTGTTTTTCATTGATTTTTACATTAATCGATTTGTCGAGTAACCAAACCGATTCATCAGCAGAGTTATCGATTAAAAAACAAAAACAATCGGAGAACCCTGCAATGTGCTCACTGCATTCTCAGCCTCTAAGATTAAATTTTCGTATACAAATGGCACGTGACCTTATTGTCCATATGAAAGTGATAACAGATGGGTTACTATGGCTTGAGAATGGTCTACAGACAGCTGGCTGCATGCTGCGGTCTATTGGCA